TCATCTACAAAGGGCAGAGATGGAATCCTGAGGCCACCGAACTGGAAATCCTTCGCCAGCTGGCTACACCGAGAAATTCTGTCCATAAAAGTTAGGAACAGAATCAGTGACAACGGGCAGCCCTGGCGGAGTCCAAGTCCCACCCTGAAGGGGTCCGACTTACTGCTGGCAATGCGAATCAAACTCTTGCATCGCTTGTATAGGGACTGAATAGCCCGTAACAATGCATCTCCAATCCCATACTCACGGAGCACCCCCCACAGTGTACCCCAAGGAACACGGTCGAATGCCTTCTCCAAGTCCAAAAAACGCATGTAGACTGGATGGGCAAACTCACATGACCCCTCAAGGACCCTAGTGAGGATAAAGAGCTGATCCAGTGTTCCACGGCCAGGACAGAACCCACATTTTTCCTCCTGGATCTGAGGTTCGACCAACAATTGGACTCGCTTCTCCAGTACCTCTGAATAGACCTTACCAGGGAGGCTAAGGAGAGTGATGCCCCTAAAATTGGAGCACACCCTCCGATCCCTCTTTTTCAAGAGGGGAACCACCACCCCAGTTTGCCAGTCCAGTGGCACTGCCTCCGATGTCCACGTGACGTTACAAAGACGTGTCAGCCAAGACAGCCCCACAACATCCAGAGCCTTAAGGAAATCAGGGTGAATCTCATCCACTCCCGGAGCCCTGCCGCCTCCGAGCTTTTTAACTACCTCGGCGACCTCAGCCACGGTTATGGACGGATAAACCCCAAAGTCCCCTGACTCAGCTTCCTCCATGGAAGACGTGCTGGTGGGATTGGGATGGTCCGAGAAGTATTCCTTTCACCTTCCGACGACATCACTGGTTGAGGTCAACAGCACTCCACCATCACTGAACACAGTGTTAGTAAAGAGCTGCTTTCCCCTCTTCAGCCACCTGATGGTTTGCCAGAATCTCCTCGGAGCTGACCAAGAGTCTCTATACAAAGTCTCACCAAACTCCTCCCACATCTGAGCTTTTACCTCAGCAACAGCCAAGGTTGCACACCGCTTGGCCCTCTGGTACTCCTCAGCTGCCTCCAGAGTCCCACTGGCCAACAAGGCCTGATAGGACTCCTTATTCAGCTTGACAGCCTCCCTAACCCAGGGTGTCCACCACCAAGTTTGTGGATGACCACCACGAGAAGCACCGACAACTTTGCGGCCACAGCTCAAGGCAGCTACCTCAACAAGCGAGGTGCGGAACATGGTCCACTCAGACTCAATGTCCCCCACCTCAGCTGGGATGTGGTTAAAGCTCTCCCAGAGGTGTGAGTTGAAGATCTCTTTGATGGGTTCTCTGCTAGGCATTCCAAGCAAACTCTCACTACACGTTCGGGTCTACCGGGTCTGTCTGGCATTTTCCCCCGCCATCTGATCCAACTCACTACCAGGTGGTGATCAGTTGACAGCTCAGGTCCTCTCTTTACCCGAGTGTACAAAACAAACAGCCGCAAATCAGATGATATGACTATGAAGTCAATCATCGATCTACGACCTAGGGCGTCCTGGTGCCAAGTGCACTTATGGACACCCTTATGTTCGAACATGGTGTTTGTGATGGACAAACAATGACTAGAACAGAAGTTCAACAACAGAACACCGCTCGGGTTCAGATCAGAGAGACCATTCCTCACAATCATGCCCCTCCAGGTCACATTGTCATTACCCATGTGGGCATTGAAGTCCCCCAGCAGAATAAAGGAGTCTCCAGCTAGAGCACCTTCCAGCACCCCTGCCAAGGACACAAGAAGGCCGGATACTCTGAACTGCAGTTTGGTGCGTAGGCACAAACAATAGTCAGAGTCCGTCCCCCAACCCGAAGGCGAAGGGAAGCCACCCTCTCATCTACCGGGGAAAACTCCAACACACAGGCACCAAGTCAGGGGGCTACAAATAGACCCACACCAGTTCAACGCCTCTCACCATGGGCAACTCCAGAGTGGAATAAAGTCCAACCCCTCTCAAGGAGATCAATTATAGAGCCCATGCTGTGCGTCGAGGTGAGCCCAACTATATCTAGTCGGTACCTCTCAACCTCAGGCACAAGCTCAGGCGCCTTCCCTGCCAGAGAGGTTACATTCCATGTCCCAAGGGCCAGCTTTGGTAAGCCAGGGTCTTTGGCCACTGCCCATAGCATCATGGCCCTTCCTGTAGGTAGTGGGTCCACAGGAAGGCAAACCCATGCTGCTCCTTCGGGCTGAGCCCGACTGGGCCCCATGGGCAGAGATCCGGTCACCAGGTGCTCACTGACGAGCCCCTCCCCCAGGCCTGGCTCCAGGGTGGGGCCCCGGTTACCCACGTCCGAGCAAGGGCCACTGAGTTCCTTGTTTTGTTTTGTCCATAAAAATCTTCTGAATCACTCTTTGTCTGGCCTGTCACCAAGGACCAATTTGCCTTGGGAGACTCTACCAGGGGCAATTGCCCCCGACAGCATAGCTCCTAGAATCATTCAGGTGCACAAACTCCACCACGATAAGGTGGCGATTCAAGGAGAAGTAAGTAAGTACAGTATGTTTAGTTATATTATTGGGTAATTACTGATAAAAACTGATCTGTCCATTTTATCAGTCATTTTATAATTTTTTAAACCCAAAATAGCTTTAAAACAGATTAATCTGTTTATATTCTGTAAATGGACACTTCTGGCTGTAGTTTGGTAAGCTGTCCAACAGAGAGCGATATTTAAACACCAATTTAGCTTTTAAACTCAACAATACTCACCCTCAGTCAGGCTCTTTCCCTTAGTTTCATAAAAGTTATTGAGTCTTTTGGCATGCTCCAAGATGATCTCCAACATGCTCTGTTTGCCATTAACCTCTGTTATTTTCTGATAAAAAAAAAAACAATAATAAAAAATAACAAAATTCATGCAATAATCCAGGTATACAATCCAACATTTTTCAGTCAGGTCATCTGGACAGTTTCTTTTTATGTGCTGAAACGTTTTGCCTTCGATCCAGAAGGTTTCATCAGTCAAGTAAACACAACAAAACTGATTCTTCCTCCAACAGCTTACTCCAAAGTGAAACAAACCAGTTTTGTTGGTGCTAAGATGGTCTCTGTGGCACGCCCCCTCCTCCATTGCCGACCCTCTTCCTTGTTAATATTAAAAAATGTTTAACCCTCAATAACCCCACAGTATAAATATCAATTCTATTCCATTTCAAAGTTTGGCACAAGTTTTAAATGTATATTAATTGTAAGGATGTTTATTTACTGACAGGTATTTATGAAAAAATAGTAAATTATTTGTCTTTTAATACGCTGTTATTAGTGAATAAATCTAAAATTACGTAACACCCCCCCCCCCCCCCCCAAAAAAAAACCAGGATGTGTGGGTTTATGATATGGTCATGTGAACAAAAACAATTTACCATAGTAATAGTTTGATAATTATGTAAATTGTAAGGAAAAACGTTTATTTTCTGTAAAACATCATTTAATAAACACACATTGAGTTAACAAACTCAATGTTTTGTTGGGGACGACTCTCAGCTACAACCACAACAAAGTTTAATTCTAACTTTAGCTAATCAATGTTTATTTACCTGTTCTAGTTGTCCAAACTCCTCCATAAGTTGGTCGAGATTCACGCAGTTTAACTTTGCCATCTTTATATCTAATATGTTTCACGGAAATGTTAAAAAAAATACAGCTTTATTACTACTTTTTAAATCGAAGCGGTGTCGAGAGTTAGTTAGCAAAGCTAACAATTAGCCGACGCTACAAGCAGCTAGCGTAGCAACTGCTGAGTTCAAGGACAATCAGAAAATTAAACTTCCATAAAGTATTTTCACAACAGGACAGTTCATATAAATCTACACTATTTTGATCATTTGATCCTGCATAACGTTGTGACGAAAGTCTTTTGGTTTAAAGACGAAATGTTTCAACATTTTTTTATATTTATTTTTTACTTTTTGCATCCGTCCAGAGGGCCTGATTTAAATGTGTTACATTTTTCGACCTGGATTATTGAGCATGCATCAGTGTTGTTATATTTCTTTATATTTAATAATCACAGCAGTTTCATAATCGATGCCAAGTTCATTTCTCATATTAAATATTAGTACAACAAACAAACACGGGAGGAAAAGAAACAGTTTGAAAAATGTTTATTGAGTTGAACAAAAACGATGACATTAACAACTTTAATGCATTAAATACAAAAATGTACCATAAACAAGTAAAAAGACAGCAACAAAAAAGAAAACATTTAAATTAGTGTCCAGAAATGAGCAAATTCAAATTTTAACACTGACAATCTGCTAAATACGCTTTAAAACATTTCAGTTCCAAATAACAAATGAACACAATACTGCACTTTACTCTCCATTCAACCCTTTTACACACAATTCATGCTTCTATAAAATTAACAAGTTGTTTATTAACAAATGCAACAGTTTTGTGAGCAACTGCTGACCTAAAATACATTAAAATAACAATAAAATAAAAACAGGAAAAGTTTAGTATATGCTACATGTTTACTTTTTGTCAAAAAATAGCTTCAAATGTAAAGTGTGTAATAAATACAGCCTAAAAGAGATCTGTGATCTCAGTGGGTATTGCCTGGTTAAATAAAGGTTAATAATAATAAACACAACGCTGCATTGGTTATACTCCATTAACACTGAAGAGGATGAATAGCATTCCCTGAAGGAATGCATATCGCTCGCCACCTTACATGTCAAAGTTTAAAACAAAGTCTTTGTGTGATCTGTAAGAGCTCAGAGTATGAGTTGGGGATGACTCTCAGCTACAACCACACCAAAGTTTAGCTCAACATCTGCACAACTGAGTGTGTTGTAGCTATCGCTGAGAAGGTTACGATCGATTAGCTGCTGTAGCCGTCCTGAATCGGATTGACTCCAAAAGTTAATCAGTTGTGGATGTACATCCAGTGATTACTTTCTGAGAATCGTCTCGAATCGTCAATGACTGACTGAATTACAGAGAAGCTGGATGGAGGAACCAGAACATTTGGCAGATAAAGAACTGGGATTTTCACATAAACTAAGCTCAAAGTTGAACAAATATGACCCTAAATTTAGTGGGAATTCAAATCGATCAATCTTTCCTGTTCCAGTATAAAAACAGGTAAACGTGGCACCAAAACACCGTACAACATACATTTCTTGCTTCTTGTAACAAAGTAATTTAGGCTTTGTGATGCAAATCAGACTTAATCCTAAATGCTTAAATGAGGACAACTGGACGTTGTTCTCATCTGGTCTCCTTTCAACAAAATGTCCAGTTGCCTTTTATGAAAGCACTTAGGATTACCATGTTCTGGATGAGTGAAAATCTACACCAAGGACCAGGCTCATCCACCCTCAGCTCCAGATTTCTTTGAGTACTTCAGTTACATGACCAGAACGTGGCCCACAGTAGAGCACATGGCAGAACTTTCAACCGTGTCGCCTGGTCACATGATGCCGTGTAAGTCCAAGGAGGCCCCCTGAAACTATTTTAGGTTCAGCCCATGGACCCTCAACAATCCAGGAACTGTTCTCCATTTAGTCTGAAATTGTCAGAGTATTTTATTTTATTTTATCTTTTTACGGTGTGACACTTCCCAGTAGCTCGGGGGTCAGGTAGCCGTCTGGCGTTGGTACAACCTTTGGGATTGTAAGGTGGGGGGTCGGTGCTGAGTTCGATGTAAGTAAGAGGCTGTTCTGTTTATCAATGCCCTCCACCATGGTGTAAACAGGAGCCGGGGGTAGTGAAGACGGGGGCAGATTGTATTTGTGGTTAGGGAACAGGGATAGACCAGGACTGGGGTCTAGTCCTGTTTGGAAGGGTTCACTGAGGTTTTCCTTGAATAATTCTGAGCTCGTTGTCCCAGCACTGAGCTCAGATGTGTAGTCCCTCTGATCTGCCTTCACCAGAAGACGCTGAGCTTGTTTCGATTTCTCCACCTTGATGTCTTTATTTCTGTCCACCTCCGTCTGCTCTTCAGGCGACAGCAGAACTTTACCAGATGACCGGACCTCGCTGACCATGGTGTACACCGCCTCACTGCCCGGTGTCGCCAAGAAAGGCTCCCCAGAGGTGGACTCAGAGGTTCTCTGGCACGGTGGCTCCTTACCAAGGGTCTGGTTTGGATTGAGAGGGTGAACGGGAGACGAATTCGACTCACAGAGGAGCTCCGGTTCACAGCAGCTGGAGCGTCCCGAGTCGTCGTCCCTGAAGCCACCAGAGAGCGGAGAGGAGCTGGAGCGGTCCATGAGACAGTCTGTGTCCAGGTCTGTCAGTTTGTCATTCTGCTCCTCGATGTCCAGGTCGATGAACTCCACCCAGGGGTCGTTGTTGTAGAGCTCTGGCCTCAGGTCAGGAGGACCCCCCAATATGGACGTCAACTTCCGAAGCTTCCCTTTCTGTCAGACAGAGAAAGTCAAGTTCAGACTAGGCCTATGACGATAACACATTTTGCTGGGCGATTAATTGTCTCAAAAATTATTGTGATAAACGATAGTATTGTTAGAAATTTGACAATAATTAGTAATTATTGTCAAATTTAAGAAGAAATGTCGGTTAATTTGTGTGCAGTACCTTTTTTCAACCACTGGATGGCAGTATAAGACTGCTTGAATCGAATAGTGAGCGATAGTGAGGGATAGTGAGGGAGCGAGCAGGTGTCTCTTTAAGAAAAATGTGAGGGAGGCCCCTTGATGTGACATGGGCTGTCTCTCCTTCCTTTATTCGGTTCTCAAAATAGCAGACGCTCGGTGTGGTTTGAGCTCTTTAGCATAGCATTTTTCACACAAAGCGTTTAATAAAAAAATCAGTAAACACGTTCTCAGCTTCTTTTTTCAGAGAAAAATAACGTTTTACACGAAGGCACGGGTTTCAACCGTGAATTTTGCAGCTTCGACAAGACAGAGGTTTTTTCCTGAGGTTGGCCTGTTAGCTTAGCTCATAGCTTAGCTTCTCAGCTTAGCTGCTTTTAACGATCCAAAAACGAGATTTTGGATCGTTAAAATAGATTTTAAAGAAAAAAGATGGGGGGGGGGGGGGGGGTGTCAGTGAAGAGCACCGGAGTTGAGCCTTTTGTCATCCAGTGTCTTCAGTAGAAAGAGAGAGATACGAAGAAATGATAAAGCCGATAAATGAAAATGGGGTTGATAATTTTCAATCATGCGATTTATTGATTTATCGTTTATCGCAACAGGCTTAGTTCAGACAGTTTATCCTGACGTGGTTTTGTTTTGTGGTGCTGGCAGATTTTTTTGTCCACTCTTGTAGCTACCCTTACCTTCAGTAGATCCGAGTCTATTCCTCTTATTTTAGGACCAGGAACAGGAGGCAGGAGAATAAACATCAATCTTAAAGGAAAAAGGAAAAATAAAATGTATTTTACTCCGGACAATGAAAAACTGATTATAAAGTATCAAACATTTTCTCTTTCATTCATTAATTTACATCCTGAACGATTCAAATGAACCCATTAATCTAAGATTTTTACTTTTTCTTTTCCAGTGTTTGTTTGTTTTTTCTCTTAAACTTGAAAAAATAAACATAACTCTTATAAATAACTCTTATTTACCTTTCTTGCTGCGATATAATGACCAACATCAGGATGGCCACCAAACACAAAGCTCCAAAGATGAGCAAAGCCACCACTGGAAATCTTGAAACTGGCAGGAAAATTGGTGAATAAATTCATTAAAATTCAGACAATTATCATAAAATAATAGTTTTAAACAAAAACCAGACTTCCAGTTGGTGCAGAGGCTTGTTGTCTCTCCATAGTGGGTTAAAAAAAGATACAAAACCCCTAAAAAAATTACTTGTTTTTGGCACAAAAAAAATAAAAATACCGGGGGGGGGGGGGGGGGTATTTTTGCTCCCCACTGTTGTAACATTGAGGTGAACAAAATAGTGTTTTTTCAATGGAAGCAGAGAAACAACATTCTCTGTGAAAATAGTGTGAGCGTGGAACGACTGCTGAAGTTTGTTGAAGAAGCTGAAACTGAAGTCAAAGCTAACAGAACAAAAGCTAAAATTAGCAACCAAAAAATGCTAAAAGCTATCATTGGCATAACAGTCACTAAAACCAGCAGAACAGCCCTTTATTGCTAAAATTAGCACTAAAATAGACCAAACAAACTCTAACAGATAAATCCAAATACCTATAGCTAAAGGTTTCAATAAGCAAGATAGCAGCTAACATTTTCAGAAGCTAAAAGCGGCACGGTGGCACAGTTGGTAGAGCTGTTGCTTCTCAGCAAGCAATTCACAGGATCAAATCCCAGCCAGGGAGGGGGGGCATTCCTGGTGGAGCTTGCATGTTTTCTCCGTGCATGTGTGGATTTCCTCCCACAGACCAAAAACATGCATGTTAGGCTGACTGGTAACTCTAATTTGTCTCTAGGTGAGAGAGTGAATGACTAATGTTTGCAGTGGATGAGTTGGGTCATTGTAAACCTGTACTGACTGTTTTTCCAGAACCTGACTGTACAGGTCTGTAAGTGTCATTTGTTGATGACTTTACTACCTTGTTTGACCACCTGGGACAACTTGTTCCTGTCTCTGGCTAGGAGGTTCCCATACCATGAGACAATATTAAAGGAAACAACACTTTCTACCAGTGACCTGTACACCAAGTGCAAAGTAATTTTGCTTGCATTAAAGCTCCTTAGCTTATACAGAAGGTGGAGACGCTGTCTGGCTTTTTTGCAAATACAGTCAGTGTTGGGCTCAAGATCAACTTGTTATCAATTATTGTTCCAAGGTATTTAAATTCAGTCACCTGCTCTACTTCATGCCCTTTTATAACAGAAGGTCTGAATACAGGTCTGGTGCTGGCCCCCCCCCCCCCCCCCCATCTACCTCCCAAACAAAGTTCCTTGGTTTTACTGACATTAAGGTCCAGAAAACTTTCATCAAACCAGTCAGAGAGCTGATCTATGAACTGGGAGTACGAGGGACTATTGGTGTCTTTCAGACCAGCAACTAGGGCAATGTCATCAGCATACTTACTGTGAAGTCTTTGCTGTTATGCCACAACTCATTTGTGTATATAGGGTAGTGGTTCTCAAACTGGGGTTCCTGAACCCCCCCCTGGGGTCCACGAGCCCCCCCCCCCCCCCCCCCCCCCCCCCCCCCCCCCCCCCGCCCACTTTTTGCATCAATCAGTTTACCACATTAAGCCTTGTAATAATTTGAAGAAGTGGCAACACATTTATGTTCATTATGTGAATAGGTAAAGTTTTAAAGTGGTTTTTGATTCTGTTAATTTTATCAAAACTAATTTTTGGAAGTTGAAATTAAACATTTTGTTAATTAAGTGTCTTGAATGAAATACAGGTATACTCCATGTTTAAAATAATAAAAAATTGTATTAACACTATTAAAGAACAGATCTTACGTTTTTATGTTACACAAATATTTCCATTGCATTAAAGAGACAAATTGAAGAAAATTATTTAATAAACATGAGGGTTATGAGGGGGTCCCTGAAACTTTATCTCCCCTGTAAGGAGTCTCTGAACCTAAAAAATTCAAGAACCCCTGATATAGAGAATAAAAGTGGCGATAGCACACAAGCTTGTGGAACACCAGTGTTCAAGCCCCTGCAGTCAGACTCATTGGGGTCTTCCTCTTAAAAATTTGCTACTCCACAACACAAGATGGCTGTTGACATTTAGATAACACCGGTGTTCTTTTAATCCAGACAGTAATGGCCCTTTTCCATTAGTAACGGTACAGCACGGATCGACTCGACTCGGCACGGTTCCAAGGCTTTTCCATTAGCAACGGTTCGTGGAACGGGTCCCATTTTTCAGTCCTTTTTCTCTGGGGTTCCATCCGTGCCAAACTGGCCTTAAAACGTGACGTCAGAACACTGTCGGTCTCTGATTGGTCAGGGGGTGGAGTCACTTGTTGTTTGAGAAACTTTCACAACAACCCAATCCACCATTTGCAATAATTCAAACTCGAGGAGCAACTGGACCTATTTTAAAAATTTTAAAAACAATAATGACAACACCGTGGTCTAATGCCTTTTTGTGTTTGGCTGTTGATGACAAAATTCAGAGAGAGCTAGATGGAGTTCCACCGGTCTCTCTGGTCCTCTCCACTGGAGCCTCGGAGTCCCCACAGGCCGGGCAGGGCGTCACCTCCCTGGTTCCGAGCTCCGCTGGTCATCGCAGAAGACGATACAAGCTGCCAACCCGCAGGAGCACGCGAGGCCGGGGTCGCATGCTCCTGCGGGCTCCGAGCTGAACCCGCCCACTAGAACCGTTAATGAAAGTATAATGGAAACACAACTGGCACTAATGGAAAAGAGGCATAGGTAATCCACTGTTCCATGTATCCAAAACGCCCGCTCTCAGCATTTAAAATGCCCCATATAGTCCAAAACACGAGACAAAACAATAATTTTGCAAACATATTGCTTGACGTGTTTGCCAGGTATAAACTGTTCTGCAGTATTGTAAAAAAGACAATACATCAAAATAATATATGACAGATCAAAACTAACAAACTACGAACTAGTCAGACGCCGAGGGTCAGCACTTGCACATGCACCCCTAATATACCGTATTGTTTTATAAGAAGATGGATGGATGGATTAAAAAACCCATAAAAGTCACAAAAAACTAAAGCAAAAGTTCATAATGTCCTGTATCAGCTGAACCTTGTGATTCATGAATGGTTAAAATAGTTGAAAGCGAGCTGTAAACTACTGGTAGTTAAAGTCCCCAAACCCTGGATTGCTGACTCAGCATTCATGCAACAACTCCAAAGGTGTGTCGGCAAGAAGATCATAAAGTAAAGGCAGGAGTTTTATTCAGTCATTGTGAGACATTCAGGTGCAACTCCTTGGTTGACCTTTGACCTCTTTCACAATCAGTTCCAGCGTCAGGGTGTTTACCTTTAGATGGGATGTGCACAAACACAGAGTGGCTGAACCCGCCGAAGAATTTCCCTCCAAGCATTTTGCACCGGACCCGAACCTCGTGGTTGACGTTGGTCTGTAGGCCGTAGAGCGAGCGCTGCGTGCTTTTCACCAGGTCTGTCTGTGGAGAAAACGCCGGCGTAAACCAGTGCTGCAGCGTTATCGTTTGTCCTCTTCAAACAGCGGGACACCCACCGTTTCCCACTTGTCCGAGTCCACGCTGCGGTACTGGACCTCGTACTGCAGCGCAATCCACCCCGTCTCCACGTCTGCGGACCTCGGAGGCTTCCACTTCACCATGATGTCGAAGTGCGCGCCGGTCAAACTGGAGTTCAGCATCATCCAGTTCAGTCCCACCGGTGGATCAGGTTGCACTGCGGCGCAGAAACAGCACATTTTAATTTGTTTTCCTGAAAAACTGAGGAAAATGCACCGACGTTAACTCACCGATTACTGAAACATCGAAGGTAATCTCATCGTAAAGGACAGTTTGATCCTTGGACTGGAGCTGCACGGTGTAGGAGGTCCAGATGGTCGTGTGGTTCTTGTTGAAGAAGCACTCGTTTGGTCTCTCTGTGCTGTAGTGGGGACACTCACTCCAGTTTTTCTGGGAAGGGGTCAGGGGTCTCCTGGGTTGGGAGAAAGAAAACACAGTCAGACTGAAAATCTGTTGAACGAAGCAGATTTTATCTGAACATCTGTCAAACTGACCCCCCGGGCCGAGCCTGGAGGGGTTTGTTAGACTGGACTGCTGATAAGATTCTGAGGCGTCTGCAGAACAAACCGGCCATTTGGGCTTGACGGCAGTGGGACAAAGAAAGTTCTGACGAATCCCTCCTAACGATGCAGCAATCAGGCTGGTTTCAACAAATCTGACACCCAAACATTTGGTAGTATTCTGGTCAGTGAATGCACCATTAAGCACACATCAGCAATTTTTTATTACACAGTTGTTTCAGCAGAAATGACGAGAAAGGAAGTGCTCCAGCTAACTGATACTGCTTCTGTTGATCTCTATATCAAACCTTGAGCAGCTATGGAGCATCGAGAGGAAGATCATCAAGATAAAACCAAACAAAAGTCTAACCTGAAGACTAGCACCTCACTAAGATGTGACGTGAAGGATTTTCCAAAATGTCTCGAAACATTCATGAGGATTCTCACTTGTCTCATGTGAGTCGCAAAAACGCTGAAAATGTTGCCGACATCTGGAAGTTGTCTCCGTTTAGTTTCCATGGGTCTGAAGGTGTGAGAAGTCTGACGAAATTGTGAGGGGGTTTGTCGACCCATGAAATCAAATTGAGACATAATTACTGTGACTAAATTGGGACTAAAGCATCTGTAAATTATTCAAAGACATATGGCAATTTATTGTCAGTATTCTGTGTTTTGACACACCAACATGTCGTAAGTAACAATTCAGTGAGATGTTATGGTAAATGTGAACATTTTCCCACAGTTGTGTCTCCAGATATTTGCCAACCGTCGGGGTTGAGTGAGACAGAAGCTCAACCCAAAGTGGAGTGTTGAGGTTGAGCAATAAATGAGCCATTAGTATGTGTGTGTGTGTGTGTGGGGGGGGGAGAGGCGTATTGAAAATTTACAGCCCGTTACTAAATTAAGACGGGTTTGAAGAGTTCAATATGCTCACAACATAATTAGAAAGGGTTCTAATTGGGTCTAAGGCATTCATGACAAAACAGAGACCAGTTCCAGATGGGTCAAAAACACCCACGCAGAACTGAGACTGGTTAGAGACTGGTTAAAGTTTAAGGTGCCCACAATAACACTGAGACTGGTTAAAGACTGGTTAAAGACCGGTTTAAGTTCAAGGTGCCCACAACAACACTGAGACTGGTCAAAAATTGGTTAAAATGGGTTTAAAACTGGTTAAAAACTGGTTTAAGACTGGTTAAAGACTGGTTTAAGTTCCAGGTGCCCACAACAACACTGAGACTGGTTAAACACAGGTTTAAGGCTGGTTAAAGACTGGTTAAAAACTGGTTAAAGACTGGTTAAAGACTGGTTAAAGACTGGTTAAAGACTGGTTAAAAACTGGTTAAAGACTGGTTAAAAACTGCTTAAAGACTGGTTTAAGTTCAAGGTGCCCACAACAACACTGAGACTGGTTAAAGACTGGTTTGGATGGGCTAAATATGCAAAACTGTCTGGTTGAGGACGCCTACAACAAAACTGATGCCCTTTTCTTCAAACTGACGTTTTCCTAAAAGCTTTCACCAACAGATAAAAAAAGATCATAACCATTCCACTGATACCCACTTTAAAGAAGTTCAAACTATCCTTTTAATCAGTTGAGGGCAGTCCTCAATAAGTTTTTGTTTAATTAGAAATACCACGTTAGTCAATTTTCATGGGATATTGTGGAAATGTGTAAATCCAGTTTTCCTGTAACTTTGTAGGGTTTAGGAAACCAGAATAAACTTTAATAAATTTCTTTAAAAAAAAGAGTCCCCACAGAAACCCTGAAGTGGACTTTGCCTTGTCAACATGGGTCCACCGTGTGTCAGATAAGGTTTGTGGAAACACTGGTATTAATCAGAGCAGACGTGTTTTTACTCATCTGTCGAGTCACGTTTCCCTTTAAGCACAACTCTGAGTTTACATTTTATTTCTTTTCTATCACACGTATGCAACGAGCTCAGGCTGACTCGAACCTCAGCTTGTTTGTGCTGTTCACACTGCCGTGTTTACACGGGGTTCTGAGATGCTCTGCCTACTCTGGAAACCAGCTGTCTTCCTGTACTTGACCTTTCACCTCTGACTGGCTTCAAGCTGCAGGAAAACACCCATTGGATCTGTGTGTGCGTGTGTGTGTGTGTGTGGGGGGGGGTATTTTTTCCTTACAGTCTGTTAAAGTAGAACAAACGCAGATCTCCTGGTTCTGAGAGGTTCTGGAAAGTCCCGACAGTCCATCTGCAGTGGAAGGTCTCCATGTCGGAGGAGACACAGTTGGTCAGGTGGGGGGGAACTGGAAGGAAACAGAAACATATATAAATGTATGCAACACCAGAAAGATTCTTTGTCTGTGTTTTTTTATTTTTATTTTAGGCTGTGCTTCAGCAGCCGGATCATAACTGAAACCAGTGAGGCGCTGCCGGGCCGCAGAGCGACCCAGCAGCAGTTTCCTGGAAGTCATTTAGCAGCTCGTCAGTAGAAACCTGCAGGGGGAGGAGGGCTCGGGGCCTTCACTGTCGCGGAATAATCTGTTTTCTCTTTACTGAGAAATGCTGCTGCACAGAAAGAGCCTGGGTTCTGGTTTTACTGCCTGCACAAATCCAAACCATGTGTTCTGACGGGTCTCGGCTCCAGCTGCAGTCCAACACGGAGCCTGTGCACTGAGGTCGAACAAAAAACACTTTCTGTTGTTTCTTTGTGACAGTTAACTGGACTGTACAGCATTCATGTGAACAAACCAACAGCAGAACGCCTCACTGTAACAACGTGAGTCAGCAGAAACTGTACGATGACTCAGCATTCACACTGGGTTGTAGAGGAAACATTTTTATGGTGCACGTCAGAACCAAACCAATTAAATCAGTAAGTTCTCACTGCTCCTCCTTTCAGGACCTCATCTCGTTCCTGAGAGTGAAACGGTGAGATGTTTGAAAACCAAATCTTTACTCAGATCCAGGAGACTTTGGTCCAAGTCAGGAACCGTGGACGAGCTTTATCTAGAGTTGCTAAAGGGGTCATGGGACTCCTCAGTCCACATGGGTGTGGTGGCCCTGGTGAAGGTCATGAGAGTGTCCTCGGCACAAATGGATCCCGCTGCAGGTTGGACTGTGTCAGGGCTGGACTTGTCTCCGATCCTGTTTTTGGCCTTCAAGGACAGGCTCTCAAGGTGCAGTCCTGGATAGGAGGGGAGTCTGGTTTGGGAATCTCGGGACCTTGTTCTTGCAAATGGTGTGGTTGTGTTGGCGTCTTTGAGCCTCGTGAAGGTCATCCAAGCTATGACCTTCATGAGGACCTGGACATTTTGCAGCTGAGTGTGAAAGAAACCCTTCTCAAGCAGAAAAGGTTTGAATCTGGGTCAGGGGTGAGGGTCTGCCTCACATGGAGGAGTTCAAGTAACTGGGAGTCAAATCCCTCGCAGTAATAAGGATGTTGCTCCAGTCTGTCGTGGTGAAGAAGGAGTGAGCTAAAGCCAAAGCTCTGGATTTACTGGTCTGTCTATGTTCCAAACCTCAGCTGTGGTCATGAGGTGTGGAGCTGGAGAAGGTTCTGGGAGGAGGGAGGTCTGCACCTGTTGCCTCGCTGAAGCAAACAAATGGATGTGAATCAGTGAGGATGCAGAGGGCTGTACCAAAGGTGAGGACATCAGGGCAAAGATGGACTTCACTGTTACGGTGAGTCAAGGTGCTCGTTGCAGAACCGGAGACAAAACTGAGCATAAAATGAAAATTTATTCATACTTAAAGTACAAAAACCATCAGGTAAAGTCCAGAAACCAGATCTTTGTGAGTCTCAGCTGCAGGTTTTGCCCATAAAAACAAGTGAGCAGGAGGTAAAAGAGGTGTTTAATTAGGCTCAGGTTATCTTTTTAAAACACATCAGAGGGAGCATGTTGCTGTTTTTTTTATTTGTTGACTGAATGTCCCGGAGGGCATGGGCAGAACGCCTTAGCGTTTCAGACAAGTTCACAGATCTCACAAGCCCAGGCTGGCCGTGCGCTGACGGCTGTGAGAACAGAACCGCTCCTTGAGAGCAGCAGCTGACGTGCACCTCCGGGCCGGCCCAGTCCAGAGTCAGGGGTTAAAAATAACCTGTTTACCAGCTCACAGGGCGCTCCGTGGAACCGGGCCTCGTCAGGATTTAGAGAAAAATCCACTGCACGCCCAGTGATGTCAGGCATGTCCGTTTACAGCGAAACGTCCGGATCGTTTTTCACACCTTAAAAAGCTGAAAGTTGTGAACGTTTAAAAACCTTTAACACAGTTCACATCCAGCCTGCTTTCCAACGTTTTAAGTAAGTCGTTCCTCCATTTTTGATAGATGATAAATCAAAACCTTCGGCTCGTTCAGGACATTCCTGCTGGGACTTTTGGTTCTCCTGCATTTTTCACTCTTTGAAATATTTAGTTTTGTCAGCCATGTTTTCCTCATTGAAAATAAATGGAGTGTTTGTGCTGTTTATAACTTTTACTGCTCATTTCTGCCGTTGTTCCGCTTCAGCTTCTCTCTGCTTGTTGTTTCACTTCAGCTTCCTTTGGCTGCTTTCAGTTACTCTCTTCTCGTTTCAGCCGTTGTTCCACTTCAGCTTCCGTCGGCTGCTTTCAGTTACTCTCTTCTCGTTTCAGCTGTTGTTCCACTTCAGCTTCTGTTGTCTGCTTTTAACTTCTTTCTGCTCGTTTCAGCTGTTGTTCCACTTCAGCTGCCTTCGGCTGCTTTCAGCTTTTCTATGCTCGTTTCAGCTTTTCTGTTCGTTTGCAGATTTTTATAACTTAAGCTTTTTATGCAGCTTTCAGCTTTTTCCTCTAAATTCAACAGTTTTCAGATTTTTACATACTTTCGCTGTATTTTTCTGATAATTTTAGCCTTTTGTCTATTTGCTGTTGATTTTAGTCTTTTGCGCCTCCTAATAATATTAAAATTTTTATGCTCCTTCAGCTAACATCAGCCTTTTTAAAGCCTTTTCAGCTACTTTTTTCTAATTTTAGCTTTTTTCCTGCTCATATCAGTGTCCTTTTTTTTGCTAATTTCAGATTTGTTGTAATCTTTTCAGCCTCCTATGTAAGTTTATGCTGCAGTTTCAGCTACATTTCTGTTTTTATTTTTTTTTTGCTGCATTCAGCAGAAATCACTCAGAGTTTCACAGGAAACGACATTTCTCTAGTTTGTAAATATCTTCCTTCTCGCTGCAGTGGAGGTAAACTCCAAACACCGGGTTACTCTGCGTTTAAAGATAATTCAGGGTCATGTGACAGCTGATGGACGTTTTCCTCCCACAGCTGGTTCCCAGTCGTGTCACGCTGGATCGACTAAATCCTGCTGAAGGTCACGTTCAGGTCCAGCTCTTCAGGTGAACCTCCCAGATTAAGACAAGATAGAACTTTATTGATCCCACAGGAAATTGTAATCTGAACAACTTTATGGAGGATTCAGAACGCAGCAGAACTTCAGACAAAGCTGCTGCAAACAGCGTCTAACTTCTGCCTTCATAAAGAATCTGCTCCTCAGAAAGCAACAAACAGAATCTGCTGGAAACACAATCTAAAAGAAACACATCTCACTGAGAAAGGACTCTGTAGAAGTGCAGAGATCCTCGAGAACAAAAGACGGGACAACGTTTTAAAAAGAAGAGAACAGCTTCAGCCACAAACTCACCTGCCTGACTTCTCCCGAGTCCCTTCAGGCCTCAGAAGGCCCGGCTCGTTTTCACAAGAAGCCAAAATGTGAAACCTGAAGCTTGTTTTTTAAAAGGTTTCTATGAAAAAAAAAAGGTCTTTACTTTTTAGATTTTCTCTGTGAAAATATTGTCTCCGTTTATCTTATCAAGTCAGAACAAACAGTTTACTGGATTATTTTGTGTATTTTTTATTGATTTTTGATGAAAACATTTAGCTGCAGGCAACAAAACAGCTGGAAATTAACAATACAAATTCAACCTTTTCACCTTAGAACAATAAAAGAAGATAAAATAAGTAAATAAACTAATTCAGACTTTAGCTGTGAAAACTAGAAGACCTGTTTCTGACGGTTGCAGTTGTAAAAACTCAGGACATTAGAGTGAAACTCTGTATGAGTAATTTCTTTTTGATTATTTTCATCAGAAAGAAACGTTGCTTACAGAAATGATTAAACAGCTGTGTGGAGGGCTGAGCGGGTGCAGGGTACTTAACATATGGGACGGTTCACTTTGATTTTACCTCCACCTCAGCATTTGATCAGCTCTTCATCTCAACTCATCTGGATTAACGACAGTCAGACAATTTGCTCAGCTTCTAAAAATCACTATGTGAATATGGACTTTTAAGTTTTTTCTGATTAAATAAAGGCACGACAGAGGCTCTTCCTCTCAGCACGTAGCTGCAGAGGCTGCAGGGGAGCTTGACTGACATGGTCCTAGTGCCTGACATGTTTCAACAGCTTCCACACAAATGGTTTAATGTGACATCTTCAGTGATACTTTAACCAGAACAAGTCATGAGATAGGAGCGAGAAATCCATCAACATTTTAGTTTCACGAAATCTGTTTACACTCTGATACTTGGCCATGTTTACATACATTCCTAGCTGCGGAGAAACTGCAACAATCACAAGATATTACTGCAAAAGATGTGATTTAGTCAATTTATGACACAAAGTAGCTTAGGGTGCATTCACACCAGCCCTGTTTAGTCCGCTTTAATCGAACTCTAGCTCGTTTTCCTAGAAAGTCCGGTTCATTTAGGGAGGTGTGAACGCGCCATCGAACTCTGTCATGGAACAAAAAGGCGAACTCTGGCCCGGGCTAAAACCTAGGTCTCGGTCCGGTAGAAGAGAACTCCAGCGCGATCCGAGTACAGCGTGAATGTAAACAGACTGGACCCGCTCCGCAGGGCAAACAAACACACATTTCTCTGACCTTATATGGAGCCGTCAGCTGCCTTGTGTGGAAAACAATATTCTCCATGGTCTTCTGTCTCATCTTCTGCTCATGCTAAGTCCATTTTTGAAAAATGACAAAATATAACTCCTAAAACTGCTAAAACTTGATGCCACTTCGTTTTTATTTTATTTACAGAAGAAGAAGAAGACGTGTCTTCAGAGGTTTTTGTGTCGTTTCTTTCAGTAGTTCTTGGTGCAGCGCCCCCACAGGCGAGCGGGGGAACAGGTCGGTTCAACAGGTTGACTCGACTGCACAGTGCAGTGTGAATGCAAACGCACCAGCTCAAATGTAAACAAAAGGTCATGAATATTGGTCCCGAACCGAGTCTACCGGACTATCTGGTGTGAAAACGACCTTAATGTCTCAGTTTGATCTCAATT